TACACATATACACCGACTTAGTTATCAGTACTCCACTATCGGTCGAGCTCTAACATAGTTACATCTAATGTTCTAGAACTTCTGGAAAATGCCTGTTATCATTTAAAACAGTTTTAAATAGTTATTCCATTTTTTTAAATTACATATTTTTTTCCCCATAATCAATTCCATAATCAATTCCATTTTTTCCCCTCCTCTGTCCTTATTCCTTCTGCCTTGGTGGAAATCTTTTGACTGTTACAAAATGCTAACACTGGAGACTCCTTCTGTCAATGATAAAGAAATTTCCTGAATACTAACCCTTTTTAAAAATCATTTTATTATTAGGCTTAGATTATGTAGCACATCAGCCATACAAGTCCCTTTGAATTTGTTGTTACTATAGAAACAATAGCATATTCGAATGAGAGCATTCAAATCTGTAATTTTGCCCTTTAGCCAGCACGGTCACAGCTGCTGTATAGAAAATTAATCAATACCCTTTCACCAATCAGAGTTGAGAAGCACTGTGATATATAGTGTTAATTAACACTTTATACCCTACCCCACAGACACACACACACCCCTTAACAGTCAGCTGCAGAGCTATTCCTGTTTCTCCTTTTTTTTTTTTTTTTTTTTTTTTCATCAGATATAATTACTGGAGTCTTATCTCCTCTAAAGGTTAAACAGCAAACCACAAACCCAATAATCATGATACATATGCATTGTGAAAATGTCCTCATTTACTACATCATTTGTTATCGTATAAAAACTAGTTTCAATAGAAGAGCAGATGCACCAAAATATAATAAGGACAGTGTTGGTAATTACAGAACAGCAGGAGAGACAAGAAGTCAAACTAGATTTAAGAATCAGCTAAATGTTTAAAGCTAAACAGACCAAATGGCTGATTACGTTCACTACTTACTAGGAGTGTAACAATACATGGCAGTCAATTCGATTCACCAGACCGGATTCATGATTTCAATTTTAGTCAGTTCTAAGAATATTTTAAACGAAGAAAAATGATGACTGAAAAGGGTCTGAATCACAAACAATGCAAAGCAATGTGCATTTTTATTGGTATAAAAACTAAAGGATGGGGGTTCAAATCCCGCCTCCGCCCTGTGTTCAGATTGTGCCCTGCGATGGGCTCGCACCCCATACAATTTATTTGTATCGGTTTTACTTCGGTTTTTGACACAATGATAATAACATTGAACTGAACAAAGCGTTTCATTTAAATCTATTTTGTCAACTTCACTTCCTCCCTGCATACAAAACACCAATAAATAGAGCTGTCTGAAAGAGTGCAAAAAAAATAAAAAATAATAAAGTGTACTGTTACTAGTGCCCTTTTTTTCCAAATAAAAATTGTGTGACTCATTGTCTCCATTTCTTAGCACCAAGCTGCTTAAACTACCTCAAGCACTTATGTAACACATTTAATTTGCACATTAACAGCCATTATGGTGGTCCTGCACACAATTCTCAAAAAGTTATCGGTTTAACCGATATTAAAAAAAAACGATAACCGATTATGGAAAAATACTTAAATATCAGGAAAATATCGGGAAAACCGTTTATCGGTCGAGCTCTAGTTTGAAAGTTACTGAAGAGCTCTTTTTACCCTTTAGCAAATGGTCATGTAACTGTATAACATATAATGCCTGTTAGTCGCTGCTGTCCGGAGCCATCATTCTGTCGGACTGCATAAGTTGCATTTTTCAAAAACATTGAGACGGAGACTTGAGCTGACAGAGGGAGGTTTCATGACCCTTTCAATGGAACCATTCAGAATTTTGTATAGGAGCTCTTAAAAAACAGAGTACGGACTGGAATGTTAAATAATTTAATCGCAGTATTTTAAAATAGAAACTCAGGATCATGGAAAAATTTATGGCGCACAAGCATAATGATCCTTTTTTTTTTGTTTGTTTTGGTTTTTAAATACACCATCTTAATTTCCCAGTATTAGCTACATTCCAGATATCAGTCTTGATTCTAACGACGCACCGAAAGGAAAATCCCGGGCCGAAACTGAAAATTCAGGATGCACTTTGCCGAAAACCAAGCATTTTTTTTAAAACCCATTTTAAAATAGTTTTTTTTTTGTATAATTGTGTTAATATTACACTTTTATGAATTTAATGAATCTGAATTGAAAAACTACAAACCAATGAAAACTCACTTTTTTCAAATGAGCACACCAAAACAAAAACTATATTAAATATTATTCTTCATTCAGTTCGGTAACAATCAAATTTAACAGATGTTTTTTTTATCCGTTTATCCAAATAGTGTAATGTTAACTATTATGATATGCAAAACAGCAGTCAAGTAATGAACTTAACAGCTCTAGGCGAGCATCCTGCAAACATACAAAGTTTAAATATGCTACACAATCATTTGAATGAAAACAACAGAAAGAACACAGAGAGGCAGAGGGTCTGTATTCTGTCGCAGTTGTTTCGCTGTACTCTGCATATTGAATGGGACGTTGTGTTTTCAGGCGGTGTATGAAACCTGTCGTGGAAAAGTGCTTGGGCACCGTACCCATTCTTGAAATTTCTGCTGAACAAACACTGCAGATGGCAAATTTGATGTCCTTATCAGAAATTTTGAAGTATTTCCAAACGGCTGACACGATCGCCCTTTGCCAGTTGGCGCCGTGATAAACGTCAGCAAGATCGAGAGTGAAATCTGAGTGCTGAGCACTGAGAGGCAGGGCGGCATATATTTTCCGCTCATATTTGTAGCCATTTTTCTCTTTCGGACAAAAAAACCCGGCCGAAATTTCAGTGCACCCCTAGTTGATGGCCCAGCTCCAGCAGCTGGTGTTCAGTGAATATAAGTCGCTCTAACCTACAGGAAGGGAGGACTGCAAATGTTGTTGATGTGGGCAGTGAGAACAGTACGTTTCTACAGCGTGACCCTGCAAAACATCTCTACCCTCAGACTGATGCCCTGACAGACAAAATGGCCTGGGATTGCTGGAGTAATCTTTTTTTAAACAGCACTTTGTGTGACTGGCCCACTTATAATATAAATGATAAACCTGGCCATAAACAAGTCAAACATGCATTCAGCAGCACTTTAACGCAATAATTTCCGCAGATGCAGGCTCGCACTGGATTTCTATTTAATAAACCATCAGCATCCTTATGCTCGTAGTGTGCATCGAGGGAAAAGCAGCAACCTTCTGGCTCCCAAGACATTTATTAAAAGTTAATTTTCACTGCCACTTGAAATCTTGTGCCTTTTATGGCTATGTATGATTTCTCAAGCCTTTGAATATGCTATTGTTGGTATGACACCACAACCCTGGAGTCAAAAACTATTCCATTAAGCACGACTACTAAAACAAGTCCATACTGTACCAGTCATTACAGAAAATAACTACAGATTCTTATACCATGGCACTTTTTTCCAACTGCAAGATTTATATTAATGAGCTAGTTCTAACAGGCTGTAGTACGTACAGTTTCTATAGTAACAACCAACACAGGGACCTTTTACGGTGAATGCTCCACAAAAAGTGTATAAACATCGATATGGAGAAGTTGGAAGGAGTCTCCATTGTCCGGTGCGTTGTAAGTTTTCTGACATTGGAAAGTCTTCAGGAGAGAGGGCCTTGTGTTTCTTGATAGCGTGACAAATTCATTGTCTTATTAACATCAAAGAGAGAGAGAGAGAGAGAGAGAGAGAGAGAGAGAGGGGGGGGGGGAGAGAGAGAGAGAGAGAGAGAGAGAGAGAGAGAGAGAGGGAGGGAGGGAGAGAGAGAAACTGACCGAGAGAGACTGGGAGAGAGGGGGGGGCGGAGGGAGAGAGAGAGAGAGAGAGAAGAGAAACTGACCGAGAGAGAGAGAGAGAGAGAGAGAAAGAGAGAGAGAGAGAGGGGGGGGGAGAGAGAAAGAGAAACCGACCGAGAGAGAGAGAGAAGAGAGAGAGAGAGAGAGAGAAACTGACCGAGAGAGAGGGAGAGAGAGAGAGAGAGAAACTGACCGAGAGAGAGAGAGAGAGAGAGAGAGAGAGAGAGAGAGAGAGAGAAGAAAGAGAGAGAGAGAGAGAGAGAGAGAGAGAGGGAGAGAGAAAGAGAGAGAGGGGGAGAGAGAGAGAGACAGATTCCCTCAGAGAGAGGGAATTACTGTTTATAAAATAAATGATATAGCTGCTATATTCCACAATATTAAAATCAACTATAAATGGTATTAACAGTTACAAATGACAAAGTGTTGTTCTCTACTTAATAAACAGACGTAGTTGTGAAATTGCTGTGGCATCGGAGGAACAAACACTCAGTGGTGTTATTCTCCTACAACACGTCACAAAAGGTTTTATTCCTTACATCATAACTAGTGATGCTTCAAAACAATATTCTTGGACAAAACAGAAATTCATGACACACTGTGCTGAATAAAAGAAAAACAAAAACTGAATATGAAACCTTTTAAAGAGTTCTTTTAAATTGTTAGATAAACGTATTTTAAACCTATACAAAGCTACTAAATACCAGTCCTGGACGCAAACAAAACACATCAATATAAACACACAAATAAAAAAAACAAACAAAAAAAACAGATGGGTGGTCAAAGTTCAAATGACAACTACAAGGCTTTTCTTCTGCTCTATGCAATTAACATTACTGCTGCCGTATGACAAGGAACAACTCGCTAGCACTGTCTGGATGAACACGAAGCAAACACCATACATGTTCTCAGACCAAAAAAAAGAATTCCATCCTTCTGTCAAAAACTTTACGTGTCATTTTTGATCGTTTCCAATATGTCACAATACATTTTTTAGATATCTAATTTTTAGGACTCTGAATTGGTGTTAAATATTTGACTGAATCTTTAAAATTGTAGCCCAGTGCTCACCATCTTCCTTGAGATCTATCTTCCGCAACCGAAGAGAACCGTTGTTGCCTAGTTACGCACGCCGTCACCATTTATCTAATTTATACATCTGAGCATTTGAGGGTTAAGAACTTGCTCAAGGGTCCAGAAGTAGCAGCTTGGCAGTGCTGGGATTTGAACTTACGACCTTCCGATCAGTAGTCCAATGTCTTAACCACGGAGCTCCCACTGACTACCATTTGGAACACACTAATCCTAATCTCGGATACTATTTAGGATGAATAGTAGGCGAATTGGGATGCAGCAAATGATTAGATGGTCAGGTGGGCACGGTTATGGTTGGAGCTAAAATCTTCATGAAGGTAGATCTCCAGGAAGAGGGTTGCTGACCACTGTTTTACATCTTTCCACCCTGCTTTTCATTGTTAAACCATTTCCTACTGTACTGCTGTGGCGCAGGTGGTAGAGCAGGTTTTCCATTAATCGTAGGGTTGGCGGTTCGATTCCTGTCCCACATGACTCCACATACCGAAGTGTCTCTGGGCAAGACACTGAACATAAAGTTGCTCCCGATGGTAAGCTAGCGCCTTGCACTGCAGCTCTGCTGCCATTGGTGGGTGCGTGTGTGTGTGTGTGTGTGTGTGTGTGTGTGTGAGAATGGGTGAATGAGAACCAATGTAAAGCGCTTTGGAACCGCTAAGGTTAAAAAAGCGCTATAGAAGTGCAGACCATTTACCATTATTGAGCACGTGGTAAACGTAGCACTGATGTTTTGATGGCGGTTGGATGTCATCATACCTAATCACGTATTGTAAAAATGTCAAGTACTGTGAGATGATGTTTTTGCCAGCCCTACTTTATACGGTTTGTGGAACCTCTCTGTCAAGATGAAAAAGTGTGAATATGAGAGATATGGCAACGTGGCATGACCGCTATGACTTATTCAAATGTAATTCGACGCATTTCTGGAAGTCTCATCTGTGCCAGCACACAGGTAGTCGTGAAAGTAGGTCAGCAGTGAGCACAGGGCGTAAAAAAAAAAAGAATTAATTCAGGACAAAAGGAAATATGTGACGTTAAATAACGATGGGGCCATTAAAAGCCTATTCAGACACTTCAAAGAAATCACTAAATAACCACGTTTCCAGACGTGTTGGCGAATCTTTAGAATGTACGCTTACGAGGCGCCCGTCACGCAGCCTCTAAATATACCGTGTCACAATGTAAGTAGGCTGACGTGACTCAGAGCTCACTGATGCTTTTAAAGTTTTACAAGTTGAAAGTTAACACAGAAGTGTTGTGATTATAGACGAGTGTCTGAGAGTGCCATATTTGTTGCAGTTTTCAATATAAACTGTGAAGGTAATATCATAAACAGATCTGACACGGTTACATCTTTAGCGTTATGTTCTACTTGTAGAGACGATGTTTTTTTTCCGAGATGCAGTGCGCTCTTTAATATATTCGCCCAGATTTAGAAAAAATAAATAAATAAATAAATAAAAACAGGGTTGTTTATAGAACAAACATGTTGGGGGGGGGAACGACCCCAAACAGAAACTACTTCTGTATCTAATTCTACTACTGCCAAATTCCTAGAAGATAAAAACAATCCTGTTTGGTTTCAAATTCAAGTTCAGCAGAATCCGAAATGGTATAAAGAGAACAAAACTGTTCTACTTACAAGAAGTGGTCAGGTATACGCTCTCAGTCCACTTTATTAAGAACACTTCTACACTCTCGCAGTTATCCAAAATCAGCCAATCATGTGGCAGCAGCACAAAGCATAAAATCATGCAGATACAGGTCAAGAGCTTCAGTTCATGTTCACATCAAACATCAGAATGAAGAACAAAGTGTCAGCTCTGTGACTTTGATTGTGCCATGGATGCTGGTACCAGAAGGGCTGGTTCGAGTATTTCAAAAACTGATGATCTCCTGGAATTTTCACACACGGCAGTCTCTAGAGTTTACACAGTATGGTGTGAAGAAAAAACAAAACAAAACAAAACAAAAGTATCGAGTGAGCGACAGTGGGTGGAAACGGCTTGCTGATACGAGAGGTCAGAGGAAAATGGTCAGATTGGTTCGAGCTGACAAGAAGGATAGTTAACTCAAATAATCGCTCTATACATCCGTAGTGAGCAGAAAAGCATCTCAGCATGCACAAAACATCCAACCTTGAGGTGGAGGAGATACAACAGAAGACCACCAAGTTGGTTTCTGCTCCTGTCAGCCAAGAACAAGAATCTGAGGCTATAAAAGGCACAGATTCACCCACACTGAACAGATGAAGATTAGACAGTCTTCAACTGTCCATGTTTTTATACACTGCACTTAGTATTTTCTTTTAAGAAGTAAAGAATAACCAGATGAAACGAGTTCGAATCAGCAGCTATTAACTTGTCGTTCCCTCAGTTTCTCTTGAACTTACGACGGAAATGCTCATTACTGAGAAAATGCACGGCCCATGACCATTACAAAGCACTGACCACGAAGGCTGCTTCCATAACATGATAAACAAATGTCTCCTTATAGAAAGCATCAGCATATCAACAAATCATTAGATTTATATTATGCAGAGCGTCCACCAAACACGTTCCTGTGAATTAGTGGTTACTATAGAAACGATAACGTATTAAATCCGGCGCGGTAATTTTTTCCTGCGTCTTGTTTTGCCGCTGTTATGAAGAATGAAAAATCTTTTTCTGACCAATTGGATTGAAACATTCGACAGCGCTGTGGTATAAGCTTGTATTAACAGCTGGTGTGTGAAAGGAATTTCTTCCTGCTTCCCAGTTTGTGTGCTGATTATTATTTGTGTGCTGATTATCATGGTAGGCTGACAAAATAGGTCGAATCTGTGAAATTCTCTGCAATTTTTTAAATAAAAATATCAAATAGTTGTGAAAGTAAAAAAAAAACAAAAAAAAAACAAGAAATGTGTTAAATAGCACTCTGAGGTCATGAATATACATTACACGCTAATCGAGAAGATTCATGACGTATTAGTCTTACACTTATGAGAGAGGTGTGTGTGTGTGTGTGTGTGATGATTGACCTGTCATAGCAGTTGAAGTCATCCAACCAGCAGCCCTTCTTCACAAGCTCGATGGTTCCAGAGTTGTTACGCCATGAAGCATAGCAGTGAGAGCGCTTGTCCTTCTCACCTTCACACCGCTCCACGCCGCTCTGGTTGGTCTTCTCAATCTCCCAGTTGATGTTATAGTACAAACACTCTCGTGTCTCCACCTCTCCATGGCTGGGTACTACACACACACAAAATAAAAAAAAATAAAAAAAGGTCAGTGAAAATTGCTTTCTAAACTTGAATTCTCTCTGTAAATACCAGTAGTGGTCAAATTTACTTTCTTCTGGAGTGAAGATGAACGCTTTGTCTTTGTAGGATGTTCAGATTTAACAGCATCCCTTCACATCTGATACCACTTCCCTTTTCTCTTAAAACATCACATCATTTTATGAACCATTTAGAATCTGAGCTTCGCCACTGAGGCTCAGATTAACATTTTCCAGTTCTAATATTGAAATATTATTTGCATTTTTTTAAACAAACAAACAAAAACACAGTAAAAATCTTGACTTCTCAATGTGCCCATATGTAAGTAAAATGTATAATTGTGTGTAAGTGTGTGTGTGTATATTTATATGTAAAATAGTAAAAAAGTCGAAGTAGGTACAGTTAGTAAAACGGGCATTGACGTAAGCAGACCGTCAATTCTGATCGACACTTTGGTAGAATTGACATCAGCTCTACCAAATATAGCCCCATCCCCTCGTCCCCAGTCAACTCGAACTGGCCAGAAGAATTCGTCAGGAAAAAATCCTTTCAACTGAAAAGACCAACACTGTTCTTTCTAGAGCTTCGTTCTATGATTTATATGATGGTAAGTAACTCGCTATGAAAATAAGATTACCGGGGCTTTAACAAAAGCTAAGGACCTAATCGTGTATGCAGACCTGATGTAACCCTCCATACAATACAAGAGAGGATAAACGGCGAGATGTGGAGATGCTGAATGAAGAGAAAAAGACTGCCTCTGGTGTCCTTGTAGTACATATTAGGCTGTGAAAGGTCTAAGGCCTGTGTAACCATCCAGTCATATCGGTCTGCACAACTTGTGCTCTTTTGACATGATCCTCTTTAGAATATTCACATATACACACACAAAAGACAAATCAGAATCTTTCTGAACGGCATGATAGAAGAGCGTTCACATTATCATCAGGGTCTAGCTAGAATATATAAGATGATGCCACAGCCATCCAAGGCCAGGAGCCCAAGAGCGAAAAACTGGCCCTGCTTTATGAGCAGACGAAGATGAGCTTCTCTTCCCTGTCAATCACAAGCCAATTGTGGGTGTCTGTGAGCTCATGTATGAGGAAGATGGCAGTTTGCACTTTCCTCAGAGTATGTTCAGAGCAGCAGTTAAAAAGAAAAAATGACTGTCTTCACACATCTTGCAGGAAGCATGTGCTAGCCTTCCACCTTCCCACTTGGTGGCTGTCGTATGACCGAGAAGTGCTAGTGGGAATTGGGAAATGACCAAAGTGGGAGAAAATAGTGTAGAACCAACCCGACCCCCCATTAAAAAAAAAAAAAAAAACCCAAACACACACATCCCCAGAATCATTAAAGGTGCAATCTCAGAAATGAACCACTGCTTCCAGGCTTCCACAAAGGTTTCATCAGATCTGTGATAGATGACCTCAATCCATCACTCAAGGCCAGACTCACTGAGGAGGACGGCATGCTCTAGCTGTAATGACGGGAATGACCCAGGCTAGCACACAGAACCTAGCAGGACAGAAGAGGATTGAATTGTCTTTATGAACATGGTTGGCTTGATCAGAAAGCAAAGCTGTTCAGGAGATGCCAGTGTTCATGGTGGTGTCTTTATGAAAGACTCATCTTGAACTCGGGCCTATCGGTCGATTGACAGAATATTCTAGAAGGGAAAACGACACAGCCAGAGAGCAGTCCTGAAAGCATGTTAAATATTCATCAGCACATCTATTAGACAACAAGCAGGCTGGAAGTGGCTTTTTTTTTATATCCTTTTGAAAATATTTAAAAGAGAGCTGCCCTTGCTCTGTGAAGTAGTTCATTAACAGTGTGAAAAATGCGTTGCCAATTGACGCACGTAAATAAGACTGTTTCTTAACAGCCAAGAAAACCATTTATGTATCACTATAAAGGGTTAAGATGAGAATT